TACAGTCTCCTAAGGCCCTAGCCCGCATGCAAGCACAACACGCAACAAAACAACTTGCTGCTGCTGCTGCTGCTGCTGCTGCTGTTGCTGCTGCTGCTGTTGCTGTTGTTACTGCTGTTGCTGATGCTGGTGGTGGTGGTGGTGGTGATTGTGCTGCTGCTGCTGCTAGGGTTGGTGCTGTTTCTGTTTATCCTCCCGGTGCTGCTGCTGCTGCATTTTCTGCTGCAGCAGCAGCAGCAGCAGCCAATCAGCAGCACCAGCACGAGCTGCCGCAGCGGTGCCGCAGCAGCCGCAGTAGCAGCAGCAGATGCAGCAGCAGCAGCGGGTGCAGCAGCAGTAGCAGCAGCAGGTGCAACAGCAGCAGCAGCAGCAGGTGCAGCAGCAGAAATAGCAGCAGCAGGTGCAACAGCAGCAGCAACAGCAGCAGCAGGTGCAGCAGCAGGTGCAGCAGCAGCAGCAGCAGCAGCAGCAGCAGGAGTTGGTGATAGTTGCATGCATTGGCGAACCCTGAGTATTTTATTAGCCGTTTGAATATCAGTTTTTGTTTTATTGATTTGTTTTTTGCTTCTTTCTATTGCAGCAGCAACGAACTCTTGTCTTTTCTCCAGAGACAAAACCCCAGTAGCAACAACAGAGCAACGTCCTGTTGCTCTGCCTGCAGCAGCAGCAGCAAACCCAGCAGCACCCTGCTGCCGCTGCTGCTGCTGCTGCTGAGGAGAAGAAACATCAGAACGCTTCTCTTGAAGCAAAGACACCAGAGCTTGCTGCAGCACCCACGTCTCTACTGCTGTCAGCTGGGCTCGTCGCTGCAGCAGCAACAGCAGCAGCAACAGCAGCAGCAACAGCAGCAGCAACAGCAGCAGCAACAATAATACACATGCATCACAACTATCGCCACCTGTATCAGCAGCAGCAGAACTATTTGCTTAATGCTCGCTTTCTCGTGGCACAGGCTGCGCAGGATCTGCTGCTGCTGCTGCTGTTGCTGCTGCTGCTGCTGCTACTGCAGCAACAGCAGCAGGTGCTGGTTGCTGCTGCTGCTCGCTTGATCTGAACCTGGCTGTGGTTTGTTGGTNGCAGCAACAGCAGCAGGTGCTGGTTGCTGCTGCTGCTCGCTTGATCTGAACCTGGCTGTGGTTTGTTGGTGTTTGTATTGATCGAATGTTGCATGCATGCAGTTGCATGCAATATTTTCGTTTGTTGTTGTACCTGCAGTTCTTCTATTTGTAATTTCTTTTTTTCATTTTGGGATTTCAGAGCTCCCAGCTGTACATTCAGCTCTGCCTCTGCCTGAGGTTCTGGTGATTGAGTGTTTAGTTGCATTTTAATGGTTAATTAGGAGAAACAGAGAGGAAATAGCGTCGATACACTGAGGCATTGCAGCTGCTTTTTACGCGTAAAAAGGCAGGGAAACACATTTAAATTGTTGTTTCAGGTTAATTGTTATATTTACAAATAAAATAAACAAAAAAAACAAAATATTCAAAAAAAACAAAAAAACAGAAATTCACAAGTTGCACGAGCTGACGAGCACATAACATCCCAGCGCTTGCAGCCAGCCACTTTTCCTTCTGCCGATCTTCGGGGTTTTTACGGTTAATTTAACGAAACTTTTGAACAAAAATATTAAAAATTACGTTTTATTTCCAGAAATCAAATTATTTTGGTGAAAAATGGCGTTTTTTATACACAAAATGACGCATTTCCATCACAGATCGGCAGCCTGCTTGCTCTGCGTATCGCGCAACACGTGGTCACCCTCGGCCGCCTCCCTGTTGTACAGCATTTGTTTGTATAGAAATCTATGCAGA